ATTTGTCCTAAGAAAGTCAAAATCATTTCAATACCATTCTTATATAGTTCTTCCTTTAATTGCCCCCTCCACAACTTGGGGACATAGAGACCCCAGGCGTCCGTCCGTCTGTCGAGTCTTGTTAGCGCTCTCACATGTACAATTCTTGCCAGATTTTTATACCGCAAAAAATTTTGCGGTTGTATATTGGTATCACATCGTCAGCCTCGTCCGAAGACAGTTGGTTTCTGGACAATAACTTTAGTATAATTAAATAGAAATTTATGAAATTTAAATACAGGGTTAATAAACACAAAAGGAAGTTGGGATTGATTTTTGGGGTTATGGTCCTAACAGTTTAGGAATAAGGGGCCAAAAAGGGGCCCAAATAAGCGTTTCCAGACAATAACCTGTGGAACGGTGTATGGATCTCTCTGAAATTATACCACAAGTTTCCATACCACAAAGGGATGGTTAGGATTTGCTTTGGGGGGTAATGGCTCAAACCGCTTAGGAATTAGGGGCAAAAACAAGGGTTTCCTGGTTAATGGACAATTACTTAAGACAATTTAAAAGCAGTGTAAGGGAGGTAATCCAAACACAACGTTTTGATTACCTCACTTACACTGCTTTTAAATTATGTATAAAGAAATGTTGTATTGTCTTGAGATGATTAGCTGGAGGAGTTGAAAAAAATGGGGAGGGGGGGGGGGGGGGGGGGTAAAAAGAAATTGTGGGGGGGCAATTTTTTCTCATTTCAGAAACTAAAAAGAAAAATTCTTCAAATATGTGGGGGGGGGGGGGGGTGTCAATTCGCAACAGCATAGTGTATTTCACAAAAGCAAAAAAAAAGGGGAGCTAATTTTTTATTTTTTTTGTGGAGGGAGGGGGGGGGGGGGGGGTCAATTCGCAACAGCAAAGTGTATTGCACAAATATAAATGCAAATATAAATTCAAATCATATAACCAATTCTAAGTTCTTTGACTACAGTTATTCTGTGTCAGAAACCTATTATGTGTCAAATATTTAATTACAATCCAACTTTCAGACCTGTATCAAGCTTGAATATTGTGTTCATTTTTGCCCCAACTGTTCAGGGTTTGACCTCTGCGGTCGTATCCAGCTGCGCTCGGTGAAGCAATTTATTATAAAACTTATATCATAGGTTTATATCAGCAATTTCTTGGACAAGTTAGAAAATCAGTGCCGATTAATTTTTTTTAAAAGAGTTATGTCCCTTGGAAACATTAAATATATGGAAAATTGCATTGTTAGCGCTCTCATGTGTACCATGGTATCATGTTGTCTTCGTCGTCGTCTGAAGACGGATGGTTTCCCGATAATAACTTGAGTATAAGTAAATAGAAATCAAGAAAATTTTAACACAAGATTTATATCCACTAAAGGAAGGTTGGGATTGATTTTGGGGGTTATGGTCCCAACTGTTTAGGAATTAGGGGCCAAAAAAGGGGCCCAAATAAGCATTTTTGTAGTTTCCAGACAATAACTTGTGTTAAAGTGTATGTTGTGATGTTATACTATTGTTTCAGAAAAGGGAGAAGGTTTGGTACCATTAAAACGTTTAATCCCACTGCAAATGTTTGCACCTGTCCTAAGTCAGATATCTGATGTACAGTAGTTGTCGTCTGTTTATGTAGTTCATACTTGTTTCTCGTTTCTCGTTTTTATATAGATTAGACCGTTGGTTTTCCCGTTTGAATGGTTTTACACTAGTTATTTTTGGGGCCCTTTATAGCTTGCTGTTCGGTGTGAGCCAATGCTCTGTGTTGAAGGCTGTACCATGACCTATAATGGTTTACTTTTATAAATTGTTACTTGGATGGAGAGTTGCCTCATTGGCACTCATACCACATCTTCCTATATCTATGAATCTCTCTGAAATTATACCACAAGTTTCCATACAACAAAGGGATGGTTAGGATTGACTATGGGGGTTATGGCTCAAACCATTTAGGAATTAGAGGCAAAAAAGGGGGAAAAACAAGTTTTTTTCTGGTTAAAGGACAATTAAGACAATTTAAAGCAGTCTAAGGGAGGTAATCCAATCCCAATTTAAAACAACAATGTTTGATTACCTCCCATACACTGCTTGTAAATTATGTATTAAGAAATGATGATTGTCTTGAGGTGATTAGCTGTCAACAGTGGCGGATCCAGAACTTTTCATAAGGGGGGGGCCCGCTGACTGACCTAAGGGGGGCTTCAGTGATTCCCTATACAATCAACCAAATTTTTCCCACGAAAGCCCCTGGCCTGCAGGGCCCCTCCCCCTGGATCCGCCTATGGTCAATTTATTTTTAAAAGTTACTATTAATTAATATCAATTTTAGCCATGACTATGTATGTCATTTTATATTTTAATACTTGTATGATGTATTTAAAAGGGTAATTATGGTTGCAAATTTTATTAAAATTTGAAATGAGATTATGACAAAATGGGGGGGGGGGATAAATAAGAATTTTTTTGGGGGGGCGCATATTTTTTCTCATCTCAGATTTCAGAAATTAAAAAGAAAATTTCTTCAAATGTTTTTTTTGGGGGGTTAATATTCAACAGGATAGTGTATTGCACAAAAGCAAAAAAATGGGGTCAATTTTATTTTAGTTATTGCCCTTGTACCTTGGATAGATAAAATATGTGCTTAGCGGGGGACAATGGAACTCTGCTCTTTAATTTGTATTTCATAAATATTTTTTACAAGTTTACATTATTTTAAGAAGAGTAACTTGAAAAAAGTAAAATAACAAAAAAACAGAACTCCAAGGAAAATTCAAAACGAAAAGTCCTTATCAAATAGCAAAATCAAAAGCTCAAACATATCAAACAAATGGAAAACAACTGTCATATTATTGACTTGGTACAGGCATTTCCTTATGTAGAAAATGGTGGATTAAACCTGGTTTTATAGCGCTTGAAAAAACATGGTAAAACATGGGAAGTAACTTGAAATTTCTATCAAGTGTTTCAAATACTGGTACACAGATCATTTATTACATAACAGTAGTTAGTGTGAGGTGAAAGACAATAATTTTATTAGTATGTGTGATACCCAAGCTGTCAAGTAAAGCCACATAATTTTCCAACTTCTTTGATTTTACAAGTAAAAATTACCTTCATCATTGACACAAAATTTGTGTTTGAGATTGACATCAACTGTTTAATAGAAAATGGAGACTGACAAATTTTTGAGGGGGTCAAAATTTTTAAAAAATATTAATGGAAGGGGCAGAAGAGGACTTAAAAAATCAGGAGATTTTGACTCCCAATTTGAGAGTCACATGCCTGAAAGACCTCTTGCAACAACTCTCAGTTGTCTACAAGCGGCCTGTTGCAAGGCTTAATTTCTGCCCACTATTCAATATTTGTGTGTAACATTATTTTAAGAAAACTTTATTTTATACTTAAATGTACATTAGTTACAAATGTTATTGTTATGTCATTGTGTAGACTCAGATCAAGATGAGAAAAACATTCCAAGTGACATTAAGAAGTAGCTTGAAACTTACATTGAAGTAGGGTAAACTTTTCAGTAAAGGTTATCGACAATTCTGATTTAAAAATATATATATACATGTAGACAGTGTGCACACTATTTTATATACAATCGTCCTGAACATGCATGAAATATTTGCCATTTGATGTTAAGCAACCAACAATTAATCATCAATCATATTTTATACAAAACATTGTTTGCATTTAAAGCACATTTTATTTTTTATCTATACAAACCTATATGGTAAATTTGTATTTCTTTGAACATTTTAATTCATGGTTTACCTATTCCCACAAAATAAAAAAAAATTGGTATCCCCTGAATAATAATGAACCACAGTATAACTGCTTATCAGTGGCAGATCCAGAACTTTTCATAAGGGGGGGCCCGCTGACTGACCTAAGGGGGGGCCGCTCCAGTCATGCTTCAGTGATTCCCTATACAATCAACCAATTTTTTCCCACAAAAGGGGGGGCCAGGGCCCCCCCTGGATCCGCCTATGCTTATCAACTATTTTTAATATATTTCATTCAATCCAATGTTGTGACTTTGTTAATTTGGATCCAAGAAAGTAAGTTACAGGTTATTAAGGCTTAACAACAACAACAACAACAACCCGTACTCCGAAAGAAAAGATAATGGCTTATATGAAATTTAAGATCATAGTTTTCAATCAACCGGATTTATAAACAAATGTATCACTATGTAGGAATTTTATTATTTATTGTACCCCACTCTGCCCAGAATGGGAGCTATAGTCTATATACTATGTCAATCACCTTGTCCATCCATCTGTTCAATGCTGTTAGTTCATCCCATATCAGTTAAAGTTTTAAGTCTGAGTTACATGTAGTTTACCATGAAATTGTGATCACATTAACTTGAAACTTAGATTACTTGTTGAACTTTTTCAGATATATGCAAAATTTGGGGTTTGACCTAGATTTTGCACTTATCATATAGCATATAAAATGTGTAAGTGTGAAATCAGAACATTCTCAGATTAAAGCCTTGACTTTAAGATAGTTTACAATTATAAAGGCAGGGTACCATCAACTTCAAACTTAAAACACATGTTCATTATGATTTGATATGCAAAATCAAGAATTTGACCAAGAGCAGGGCAGTGTTCGATGTTCAAAAAAAGAAAATAAATTCAATAACTATTTCCTTGCCTCAAATTTACAAATTTTTTTTTAGACAAGTCATTGTAAAAAATTATGTTTTAGCATCACCATTGGAGTATTCACAAAGAACAGAGATGTTTGGTTAATTAATCAATTTATTTGCTTTGTGGATTTTGAAATCAATTAAATATTTTTTTATTACCTGAAAGGGTAAATTAACATTGTCATATGATATTGATAAGCTTATCAAATTATGAAACAAATAACAAATAACTGAAAAATGTTTTTGACCATTTTGTTTTCGTATAATTTTCAATTAATTGTATAAAAAAATACACACACACTTGGTTTTAATTTTTGCATTATTATCCTTTTCAGATTATGTAATTTATGTTAAGATGGATAACAATGAGTAGCAATGAACTCAGAAAAATAGCGAGAGTGCAGGTAAGTTGAATAGCATATTATTGAAATGAAGAAGTGATAAATAGTGGTTCAGGCCTGTTCAATGATTTTATGTGTCAGGATCAGGCAAGATGGTGGGGTGCACATTTTCAAATGCCCCCATATAACATGTATAATATTTACATGCAGCAATATGGCATTTTTTCAACTTGCTATTTTTCGTACTGCTGCAAAGCATGTTAGATATATATCTCTGAGTTATCAGTTTTATTATCTTATGTTCTCCTGCATACCTCTGGTTATCTCACTTTGTTATATTGAAAGAGAAAGGGTTGAATAATTACAAATAGACTAACCTGTCCACATGTTGTCCCAAGTCTGAACCTCATTAGTGGTTCTGTTTTACATTTTCTTATCACTTGGCGTCCGTCATCATCTGTTAACTTTTGCAACAATCTTCTCATCTGAAACTACTGGGCCAAATTTAACCAAACTTGGCCACATTCATCATTGGGGTATCTAGTGTAAAAAATGTGTCTGATGACCCCGCCTGCCAACCAAGATGGCCGACATGTCTAAAAATAGAACATAGGGGTAAAATGCAAGTTTTGTCTATGGTTTTGAAAACCATTATATATAGAGAAAATCTGACAAGGGCAGAAATGTTCAGAATGTTGACCAATTGTCCATATACGTCAAAACTGTCAGACAAATATTCTTATAGGAGTTTTTGCCGTAAATTGACAAATTTTACTTTTTTTTTCATCTTTATAGTATTATATTATGGTGTTGTCTGCGTCTGCGCCTGCGCCTGAAGACATTTTGGTTCCCAGACAATAGCATGAGTATAAGCTCATGGATCTCTATGAAATTTTAGCACAAGGTTCTATACCACTAAAGGATGGTTGGGATTGTTTTTGGGGGCTATTGTCCTTGCAGTTTTGTAATTAGTGGCCATAAAAGGTCAGTTTTACTGGTTCATGGAAAATAAATTGGTTCGAAGACATTAACTTTAGTGTAAGTGCATGGATGTGTAAGAAAATTTATAAGATATATTTGGTTTACAGTTTGATTTAGAAGAAACAAAGACATACTATTAATTATCTTATTACTACCACATTTTATATTAATTAGTATTGTAATTTTCATTGTTATTGATAAATGTTATATGAATATTATAAACCAAATCTTGAATTCTATCCTGATTCTATTCTATTTTGGGGAAATATCAGAAATTCAAATGTGACGTCACCCTTTTTTTAGCGTTGATCTCTTTGGCTAACTCGGCTGTGAATTTTTATGTGCTGGTTTATGTTGTTTTATGTATCCGTTCTTATTCTGTAGTAAGTCACCACATTTCGGTGTTATCATGTATATCTATTATATAGTCATTTTTATAAATTTACTGTTTACAAAAGTATGAATTATTCTAAATACTAAGGATTTTCTTATCCCAGACATATAACCTTAGCCGTATTTAACACAACTTTTTGGAACTTTTGGTCCTCAATGCTCTTCAATTTTGTACTTGTTTTGGCTTTCGTACTTTTTTGATCTGAGCGTCACTGGTTAGTCTTGTCATGGAAGTAATATTTAAAAGGAATAACAACGACTAACTAGCATGTATGAATGGCATGTAGAGCTCTGTACTAAAGTCATATAATTTTATCCAATTATAGTCTCAGCGGCAAGACCCCTTTGGTTACTATCTGTGATACCGCGGTTGTAAAATGGCATCTGGAATTTCTTATCAGTCACGTGATTTTATCGAGTACGGTAATTGTAAAGCACCTGTGTGAAATCCTAGTTTATTAATTAGCAAGGTGGCGCTGTATCATATAATACTTCTACCTTCAAAAAGAAATCGAATGATGTAAAAAACTTGAAAAACGGACGAGAATTGTTTACACTACAGCAGTTAAACATGGAAAATTGTATTTATTTTTGCATATTTTTGCTTTTTACCGTTTGTTTTAAACTTATCTAAAAGTATTTTCCGATTGAAAGCGGATCCCAAGTAAAACAGGTAATACCGACGAAGCGATCAGGTTTCACATGATGTTTAACAAAATAATGAAGACATAGATTGTTTTACTGTTGAAATGTGCAAAGTTATCGAGATTTTAAAAAGGATATTTACATTCAAGTATTTTAAATTTATGTATATGTAATAAATGTCATTGATTACATTATTGAACTTGACAACTAAAATCGGGATAATAAGTTCGTAAATATCTATTTTAAAAAAGTGTTTTAATACAGTTAATATAACACGCTACAGCAAAAATAAAAACAAACAGACAAAATGAGCTTGACCCTATCTGCCTAACCGCATATTCATTTATACGAATTAGTTTAAAGAATAGAAACATTTGTGAATATTTTAATTGACTGTAATACACGCATGACTTGGATTATTCATATTTAATAAAAGGGGGTCCAAACATATTTTTTGTACAATCATATTCTTAAATTTTTAAGAAATGGCGTCTTAACTGTCTGTAAATATTAAAATTGAAAACGATCCACCCATGTTCTCCAGTTTTTAAGATCGAAATAAACAGAAATGGGAAAATTAGACTAAAATCAACATTGAAATAAATTACTCTATTTCGCAGCGTACATCAGCGGAATTTAATGAGTGGACTATTCATGTTACTTCGCACGTATATACGACAACAACTTGTCTGTTCTTAATTTTCCGTGAACACGAAAACGACCGAAAAAGTGTCAGTGATTTGATCGATCACATGCGGAGAATCAACTACCATTCCATATTGTAAACTGATTAACGAGTAATCGAAAGATAGGCGGTAACGCAGATGAAACCTTTGAACTGGCGTTGTTGTTATTCCTTTCAATATTACTTCCATGGTCTTGTGTGGACGAAACGCGCGTCTTGCGTATTAAATTTTAAACCTGGTACCTTTTGTTAGCTATTATTCGTATGTTTCTCTGTCCTATATGTTCTCCCATTTATTTGTATTGTAGTCCTGTCATGTAATGTTGTCATTTTAATGTTATATTTAACATTGCCATAAAAGCGGGAGGTTTGGCTAGCCACAAAACCAGGTTCAACCCACCATTTTTTTCTTAAAATGTCCTGTACCAAGTCAGGAAAATGGCCATTGTTATATTATAGTTCGTTTCTGTGTGTGTTACATTTTAATGTTGTGTTTCTGTTGTGTCGTAATTCTCCTCTTATATTTGATGTGTTTCCCTCAGTTTTAGTTTGTAACCCGGATTTGTTTTTTTCTCAATCGATTTATGAATTTCGAACTGCGGTATACTACTTTTGCCTTTATTCTTCTCGATTTTTAATAAAAAAAATCAATCATATCCACAAATGTGCACTTTGTTTTATCTTCTGAATGGAAGCATCGTTTCAAATCTACATTATTCCACATTAATCGAACTAAAGAATATAACCCAAAAAAAAAAATGTCCTGTACCAAGTTAGGAAAATGGCCATTGTTATATTATAGTTCGTTTCTGTGTGTGTTACATTTTAATGTTGTGTTTCTGTTGTGTCGTAGTTCTCCTCTTATATTTGATGTGTTTCCCTCAGTTTTAGTTTGTAACCCGGATTTGTTTTTTTCTCAATCGATTTATGAATTTCGAACAGCGGTATACTACTGTTGCCTTTATTTAGTACAAGGTTCCATACCACAAAAGGAGGGTTGGGATTGATTTTGGGGGTTATTGTCTTAGATGTTTTGTAATTAGGGGCCAGAAAGGGGCCAAAAACAATTATTTGTCTGGTTTTAAGACAATAACTTGAGTATAAGAGATATTTCTTTAGTCAAAATTTTAGCACAAGGTTCCACACTACAATGGGAAGGTTGGGATTAATTTTGGGGGTCATTGTAATAGCTGTTTAGGAATTAGGGGCCAAAAAGGGTCTAACAAAAAGAATTTTTTGTCAGGTTCACAGACAATAACTTGAGTATAAGTGTATGGATCTCTATTAAATTTTAGCACAAGGTTCCATACCACAATAGGAATGTTGGGATTTATTTTGGGGGTTATTGCCATAGCTGTTTAGGAATTAGGGGCCAAAAACAAGCATTTTTCATGTTTCAGGACAATAATTGGTGTATAAGAGTATAGACTTCTATGAAATTTTACCACAAGGTGCCATACTTCAAAAGGAAAGTTTTGAATAATTTTTGGAGGGTCATGGCCCACACCGTTTAATAATTAGGGGTTGAAAAGGGGCCAAAAACAACTATTTTTTCTGGTAAATACAGAGTATAAGTGTATGGATCTCTATTCAGTTTTAGCATTGGGATTTATTTTGGGGTTATTAAAGTAGCTGTTTAGGAATTAGGGGCCAAAAAGGGCTTAACAAAAACAATTATTTGTCTGGTTCACAGACAATAACTTGAGTATAACTGTATAAATCTCTATTAAATTTAAGCACAAGGTTCCATACCACTAAAGGAAGGTTGAGATTTATTTTGGGGGTTTTTGTTGTAGCTGTTTAGTAATTAAGGGCCAAAAAGGGGTCAAAAACAAGCATTTTTCATGTTTCTGGACACTAATTTGTGTATTATAGTATGGATTTCTATGGAATTTTACTATAAGGTTCCATACTTCAAAAGGAAAGTTGGGATTGATTTGAGGGGTCATGGTCCAAACCGTTTAATAATAAGGGGATGAAAAGAAGCCAAAAAACTAGGATTTTCTGATTTCTGGACAATAACTTGAGTATAAGTCTATTTATTGCTATTTAATTGTGCCACAAGGTGTTATACCATTATATTACCCTAAAATAAAGTTAGGGATTGATTTTAGGGGTTATGACCCTATTGGTTTAGTTAAAAGGGATCAAAACCAATACTATGTATAAATTGCTTATTAGTCCCCTACCAGGTTTGCAGTCTGTCTGTCTATCCATCAGTCTGGCAAATTAGTTTTCCACACTTTTTTTCTTCATGCTTGAAGATATTGATTTGATATTTGGTGTATTGTTTTATCATGACAAGTTACAGATCAAATTCGAATTTTGTTCTGGTCTGATGATTTTGTGCAGATGTTAAATATATTATTTTTTTTTTTATGAGGGGAATACCTTTAAAAACTAAGCTCAGGGGTCACCACACTTCAAAATTATAGGGAGAAGTGAGTTCTCCCTGGCAGTCAAACAGGGAGAAGTGAGAACCCAACAGGGAGACCAGGGAGAAGTGAAGCCCCAACAGGGAGACTTCAGGGAGAAGTGAAGCCCCAACAGGGAGACTTCAGGGAAAATTGAAGGATCACGTTAATACTTTTAAGAATCAAATTTTCCAAGCATCTATACCTTTTTATACGACCACAAAATTTTTGCGGTTGTATATTGGTATCACGTCGTCGTCATCGTCCGAAGACATTTGGTTTCTGGACAATAACTTTAGTTTAAGTGTATCGATCTCTATGAAATTTAAACAAAAAGTTCAATACCACAAAAGGAAGGTTGGGATTGTTTTTGGGGTGATGGTCCAAACCATTTAGGAATTAGGGGCCAAAAAGGGGCCAAAACAAGTATTTTTCTAGTTTCAGGACAATAACTTGTGTATAAGTATTTTGATTGCTCTGAAATTGTACCACAAGGTTCAATACCACAAGTAGAAGGTTGGGATTCATTTTGGGGGTAATTACCCAAACTGTTCAGGAATTAGGGGCCAAAAATTGTCTAAAACAAGCATTTTTCTAGTTTTCAGACAATAACTTGTGTTTAAGTGTATAGATGTTTCTTAATTTGTACCACATTTTACAAAAAGATAATTTCTTCAAAATTTATTTTTTTGGAAGGAGGGGGGGGGGGGGGTAATTTTTGGGGGGGGGCAATTTTTTTCCTCAAAGGAAAATTCTCTTCAAATATTATTTATTTCAGAGGGGGGAGTAAAACAAAATTTGTTTGGGGGGGTAAAAAAAAATTTTTTTGGGGCGGTCATTTTTTTTCCTCAAGATTTAAGAAATTGTCAAGTTTCCAAAGAAAAAAATTGGGGGTCACAATTTATTTTGCTAATTCTTTTTATATAGTCTGAAAACAGATTTACTAAGTATTGCGCAACAGCACAGTGTATTGCACAACAGCAAGAAATCTTCAATTGAATATAAATTCAAATCATACAACCAATTTCAAGTTCTTTGACACATTTATTCTGTGTCAAAAACCTATAATGTGTCAAATATTTAATTACAATCCAAATTCAAACCTGTATCAAGCTTGAATATTGTGTCCATTTTTGCCCCAACTGTTCAGGGTTGGACCTCTGCGGTCGTATCCAGCTGCGCTCAGCGAAGCAGTTTATTGTTATTTGTCAATGCATTTTTGCATGACAACTGCTAAGGTGGTATTTTCTTGTCCTGCCATGCCATTGCTTACATCCACTTCATTTGAACTTTGGTGGATAGTTGTCTCATTGGCAATCATACCACATCTCCTTATTTTCATATTGTGGTCTGAATTACATTTGCACCTATGGACGCAAAATAATTTTTTAATTGTCAAAAAATATCAGAAGGACCATAAGAGCTACGGTTGTGCAGCTAGGTCTGAATGAATTGAAGATTTGACATTGGTCAAATTTTGCTGCATCTCAAAGATTTTTCAAACAGATGTATGTTTTGAATTGCTCACAATTGTGTTTAATAACATTAAATAAAGCAAGAACCCTTTAAAAAAAAAATAATCAAATTGATAAGTTTGTTTAAATATCTTGAATACAGTTTCACTGCGTTCATTGCTAAGATCATAATTAAAAAATATATTTGTTCTTTAAATTATTTTTATGCCCCGTCCCAAAGTTGGTTTCCGTTCTCTAACTTTAGTTTGCTTCAGCCAAATGTTATGAAACTTATACAAAATGCTTATTACCAAAAAAAAAAAACAGATCAAGTTTGAATTTTGGTGGCATCACTTAAATGGTTCTAGAGTTATGCCCCTTTATAATGGAAAAATTGCTAAATTTTTAGTTTCCGTTCTGTAACTTAAGTTTGCCTCAACCAAATATTATGAAACTTATACACAATGCTTATTACCACAAAACACAGATCAAGTTTGAATTTTGGTGGCGTCACTTTAACAATTCCAGAGTTATGCCCTTTATAAATGGAAAAATTGCTAAATTTTTAGTTTCCGTTCTGTAACTTAAGTTTGCCTCAACCAAATGTTATGAAACTTATACACGATGCTTATTACCACTAAATACAGATCAAGTTTGAATTTTGGTGGCATCACTTAAATGTTTCTAGAGTTATGCCCCTTTATAATGGAAAAATTGCAAAATTTTTAGTTTCGGTTCTCTAACTTAAGTTTGCCTCAATCAAATGTTATAAAACTTATACACAATGCTTATTACCACTAAATACAGATCAAGTTTGAATTTTGGTAGCGTCACTCTAACCATTCTTGAGTTATGCACCTTTATAAATGGAAAAATTGCTATATTTTTGTTTCCGTTCTCTTACTTTAGTTTGTCTCCACCAAATGTTATAAAACTTATACACAACAGTTCTAGAGTTATGCATGTTTACAAATAGAAAAATTGCTGAATTTTTAGTTTCTGTTCTCTACTTAAGTTAACCTCAACCAAATGTTATGAGACTTACACACAATGCTTATTACCACAAAACTCAGATCAAGTTCAAATTTGGGTAGCGTCACTTTTACCGTTCTTCAGTTATGTCCCTTTATAACTATATGATATGCAAGCGGGGGTATCATCTGTGTCCACATGTGGACACTATCCACATTTATTTTGTAACTATAAGGTCTTTCAGATAGGATGAATATTTTCCTCAATTTTAAGACTGAAAGAAAATGGACAATTTTGATTTTATGGCAGCAGGAATAACATTCACAAGTGTCAAACCCCTTTCATCTGATCCTCTCTTTTGGCTTAGTTCACCTATACAAGTATATGTTTCTCAAATCATAGCTTGCTTTCCCATCAGATTTCCTTGAAAGAGGGTTGTTACCTACAATAATCTAACGAACTTAGTAACTCTTAGGGTTCCAAATGTAAAATTTAACCCAGCATTTCTAAAGTTTTGTAGTTGCTGTCGTAGGTTGGTTGACTAGCATCTTTTGTCACAGGTGACCATGGATATTAGCAAATACTATTCCTAAGACAGTACTAAACAATCCTTAAAGAAAAAGCATTGTGGATGTATTAAATGTACATTAGCTGCTATTTAGACAAAAAATTCAAATACATTTTTTTTTGTTTCAAACATTCAATGGTACCAGTAATTAGATGGTGTCTACTCTAAAATATGCATGACGCCTGAAATGCTGATACATTTTTTTTGTACATTATAATGAGTCCGTTCATTGTTAATTGTTTCTTTTGTACTTTTCATAATTTGAATGTTCTTCATGTTCTTTTTAGTATGTAATGAATCAAATATGAGAATTTAAGTTAAATTGGTGATCATGAATTTGACAGCTAATGCCCCTTGAAGAGTTAACATTTTTTCCTTGGCTTGATGAATTTTTGAATCAAGTATGAAAATTTAAGTCTAATCAGTGATCTTGAATTTGACAACTTAATGCCCCTTTAAGAGTAAACATTTTTTTCTTGCCTTGATGAATTTGTGGATGTGTGCTGTTGCCCTTTTCAAGGGGCATTCTCTTTCAACAATTGTTTAAGTTTATGATTATGTCAGTTTAAAAGGAACCACAAATAGTAGGTCAATGATGTTTAGAAGCCAGTTGTATAAGCTATAGAACATCTCATTTCCATGGAGATTATTTGGCATCACATCCTCAAGGCAAACTCCTTTTGCATAGTTTAAATGTTAAAATTTATGATAAGGTCGCTAATGGTAAGTCATGATATTTGGTAAGCAGTTGTATTAGCAATTACACATTTTATTTCAAAGAAGATTATTTGGCTCCACCCCTTACTCATCATCCTCTACTTTCAAACTTTTGCATTGATATGTTAGTGTTGCCCTTAAAATATCCTTATTTGCATTATACTATCAAAATAGCTTACATGTCAGACATATCTCTATATCGACAGCTTATTTTCATTCATGAATATGAATGTCGCATATAGATTGATATCCTTAAGTACTTACTAATATAAAATTAAGGAGATGTGGTATGAATGTTGATGAGACAACTATCCATAAAGACCAATGGATGTGAACTATTACAGGTCAACAGGTCACCATAGGGACTTCAACAATGAGCAAAAACCATACTATATAGTAAGCTATGAAAGGCCAGGGTAGGACAAGATGTGAAAAGAAAGAGAAAATTGAATTGAACTACCAGTATAACAATTACAATGTAACAAAAACAAATATTGCAGAAAGCAACAAACAACAACCATTGTCTCTAGCAAAAATGACAACATGACAAGATTTTTACAAACTCAATTTCCATTCAACAGAAGTATTCTTTCAGTCTTTTAGTTTATCAATTTTATGCTTAAATGTCTGATGAGTGAGACTCCTTTGAGCCTCTAGTAGTGCATGCATGAATGCATTTCTGTTTTAAATTACAGATATTGTGGTGGTTGTGTATATTTAGAATGGATAAATCATTAAACTTATCATCTCTAACATCCAATGTTCCTGCATCCTTACAAACTCCTCCTGGTGATCCTGAATTTGTAAAACTTCCAGCAAAGCACAGATGTTTGATATGTCACAATGTGATGAGAGATGCTGTGATGACACTTTGTGGGCATCGTATGTGTGAGGGTTGTCTTACTCCTCTATTGTTTGATCCTCAGAATAAAGAACCTCTACACTGTCCTGGAAAAGAGGAATTTTGTATAGAACTCAAACCTGATGAGGTATCTTTGTATTACAATAGTTGGAAATAGAAATTCTAATATGACATGCTGCTTTTGCTTTGTAAATAACAGTGTGATTAAATTCTGGATATATCTATACCTAGTGCATACTCAGAGATGTACATATCTGTTGATGTTACAGTCTACCTCCCACGTATATCCACATGCATCATAACATATGTGCAGAACATATGTTCATTTTGCTGTTAAAATTGAAATTGAAGAAAAAACTACAGAGCTGTATGCATATCAAAAAGATACATGAGAGCTTGAAAAATATATAAAATTAAAATAAGATAAAATTCTGCAAAATTCAATGAATGATCTTGGCGCAAATGTTTTGTTTAACTAAAGAAATATTTGTGATTTTGAATAAAGGATATTGAGGTTCTTGTTAATGTATTGTATATTATATTGTTCATAATAAATGCTATTTACTCATATTCAATTATAGAAAAAAAGGATACGTAGTATGATTGTTCACAAGTACAAAAAGTAATAAATAACTCTAATTTCACTTTAGTATACAAACTGAATTCATTTTATTTGCCTGATACACTCTTTTTCTCAAGATTTTAAACAATCTAGTAGTAGAATTATTACACTTTTAAAAATATCGTATGTAAATCAGTAAGGATTTCTATTTAGAGTTGATGAGGCAAGGCAGGGGTAACAGTTATTATAAACTATTTGAAAATTCCTCTGAAATGTTTAATATTATCGACTGAAAACCAATTGTGAAATTAATAAATCATTGATAAAAAATCTAACAATAGTTGGTTAAATGTTTGCAATAAGAATATTGTCATGATTGTGTGTCTGTTGTAGCAATTTTTCATATTCTTATATTACATTGTGTATTTTGTTCGCCATTTCTCCGTTCTATTCTGTTGTGTACCTTTTATTAGCTCACCTGGCCCAAAGGGCCAAGTGAGCTTTTCTCATCACTTGGCGTCCGTCGTCCGTCGTTGTTAACTTTTACAAAAATCTTCTCCTCTGAAACTACTTGGCCAAATTAAACCAAACTTGGCCACAATCATCATTGGGGTATCTAGTTTAAAAAATGTGTCCGGTGACCCGGACAACCAACCAAGATGGCCGCCATGGCTAAAAATAGAACATAGGGGTAAAATGTAGATTTTGGCTTATATCTCTGAAACCAAAGCATTTAGAGCAAATCTGACATTGGGGTAAAATTGTTTATCAGGTCAAGATCTATCTGCCCTGAAATTTTCAGATGAATCTGACAACCCGTTGTTGGGTTGCTGCCCCTGAATTGGTAATTTTAAGGAAATTTTGCTGTTTGTGGTTATTATCTTGAATATTGTTATAGATAGAGATAAACTGTAAACAGCAATAATGTTCAGCAAAGTAAGATCTACAATTAAGTCAACTTGTTCAAATTGGTCAGTTGACCCTTAAGGAGTTATTGCCCTTTATAGTCAATTTTTAACCATTTTTCCTAAATTTTTGTTATCTTTTACAAAAATCTTCTCTGATGAAACTACTAAGTCAAATTTAACCAAACTTGTCCAAAATCATCATTAGGGTATCTTGTTTAAAAAATGTGTCCGATGACCCCGCCCGCGAACCAAGATGGCCGACATGGCTAAAAAATAGTAAATAGGGCAAAATGCAGTTTTTTGCTCATATCTCTGAAACCAAAGCATTTAGAGCAAATCTGAAATGGGGTAAAATTGTTTATCAGGTCAAGATCTATCTGCCCTGAAATTTTCAGACCAATCAGGCAACACGTTGTTGGGTTGGTGCCCTTGAATTGGTAATTTTAAGAAAATTTTGCCGTTTTTGGTTATTATCTTGAATATTATTATAGATAGAGATAAACTGTAAACAGCAATAATGTTCAGCAAAGTAAGATCTACAATTAAGTCAACTTGACTAAAATGGTCAGTTGACCCCTTAAGGAGTTATTGCCCTTTATAGTCAATTTTTAACCATTTTTCGTAAATTTTTGTAATCTTTTACAAAAATCTTCTCCTCTGAAACTACTAAGACAAATTTAACCAAACTTGTCCACAATCATCATTAGGGTATCAAGTTTAAAAAATGTGTCCGATGACCCCGCCCGCGGACCAAGATGGCTGACATGGCTAAAAAATAGTACATAGGGTAAAATGCAGTTTTTGGCTCATATCTCTGAAACTAAAGCATTTAGAGCAAATCTGACAGGATAAAATTGTTCATTAGGTCAAGATCTATCTGCTCTAAAATTTTCAGACCAATCAGGCAACACGTTGTTGGGTTACTGCCCCTAAATTGGTAATTTTAAGAAAATTTTGCAGCTTTTGGTTATTATCTTGAATATTATTATAGATAGAGATAAACTGTAAACAGCAATAATGTACAGCAAAGTTAGATCTACAAATAAGTCAACTTGACCAAAATTGTCAATTGACCCCTTAAGGAGTTATTGCCCTTTATAGTCAATTTTTTACAATTTTCATAAATTTTGTAAATTTTTGTAAATTTTTACAAAATATTTTCCACTGTAACAACTGGGCCAAGTTCATTATAGATAGAGATAATTGTAAGCAGCAAGAATGTTCAGTAAAGTAAGATCTACAAACACATCACCATCACCAAAACACAATTTTGTCATGAATCCATCTGTGTCCTTTGTTTAATATGCACATATACCAAGGTGAGCGACACAGGCTCTTTAGAGCCTCTAGTTGTGTTTGGCTGACCACATTTGTTTACTTTGAATTATTCTCTAGTAAAATCTCATTTTCCGCACTTATCTCATGCTTTGAAATGCAACATTGCTAAAATCATGAATATGACTTTTACTATACACTCACCAACTCATTTATCATCTCCAAAAATAAATTATCATACTCCAAGTCATTCAGGTGAGATTTTTGCAACTTTGTTCTCAATTTAAATTCATTTAGGCCTTTAAACTCCTCTACTAGTATTGTTTTCCCTATATTTATCATTGATCTGGCATATTTGCTAAAACTTAATACATGTATACAATCCCTTTTTAGCTCACCTTGCCCGAAGGTCCAAGTGAGCTTTTCTCATCACTTGGCGTCCGTCGTCCGTCGTCGTCGTCGTTAGCTTTTTACAAAAATCTTCTCCTCTGAAACTACTGGGCCAAATTTAACCAAACTTGGCCACAATCATCATTAGGGTATCTAGTTTAAAAAATGTGTCCAATGACCCCGCCAACCAACCAAGATGGCCGCCATGGCTAAAAATAGAACATAGGGGTAAAATGTAGCTTTTGGCTTATATCTCTGAAACCAAAGCATTTAGAGTAAATCTGACAAAGGGTAAAACTGATTATCAGGTCAAGATCTATCTGCCCTGAAATTTTAAGACAAATCTGACAACCTAATGTTGGGTTGCTGCCCCTGAAATGGTAATTTTAAGGAAATTTTGCAGTTTTTATACGACCGCAAAAATTAAAAATTTTTTGGTCGTATATTGGTATGACGTTGGCGTCGTCGTCGTCCGGCGTCGTCGTCGTCGTCGTCGTCTGGCGTCGTCCGGCGTCGTCCGAAGACACATTGGTTTTCGCACTCTAACTTTAGTTTAAGTGAATGGATCTCCATGAAATTTTACCATAAGGTTCAATACCACAAAAGGAAGGTTGGGATTGATTTTGGGGGTTATGGTACCAACAGTTAAGGAATAAGGGGCCAAAAAGGGGCCAAAAATAAGCATTTTTGTAACTTCCAGACAATAACTTGTGTGTAAGTGTATGGATCTCTCTGACATTGTACCACAAGGTTCCATATCACAAAGGAAAGGCTGTAATTGATTTTGGGGGTAATTGCCTCAAAATTTTAGGAATTAGGGGCCAAAAAAGGGGCAAAAAACAAGCATTTTTCTAGTTTCATGACAATAACTTGTGTGTAAGTGTTTGGATATTTCTGAAATTGTACTACAAGGTTCCATATCACAAAGGGAAAGCTGGAATTGAGTTTGGGGGTAATTGCCCGAAACGTTTAGGAATTGGGGGCCAAAAAGGGGCCAAAAATAAGCATTTTTCTAGTTTCCAGACAATAACTTGTGTTCAAGTGTATGGATCTCTCTGAAATTGTACTGCAAGGTACCATACCACAAAGGGAAGGCTGGGATTGAGTTTGGGGGTGATGAATCATAAGGGGGTTCAAAAAATTTTGGGGGGGATTTTTTTTTTTCTTTTTTTCCTTTTTTTTTTTCTTTTAAAATTTTCCATTTTAAGTTGGTTATTTCTGATTAATATTTAAAAGCAAATAATAATGATATGGTAGGAGATACACACCAAACAGGATGTGTAAATTATTATCTAATAAGTATTGTGCAATAGCAAGAAATTTTCAATTGCACAGTATTGCACAATAGCAAGAAATCTTCAATTGCACAGTATTGCGCAATAGCAAGAAATCTTCAATTGCACAGTATTGCGCAATAGCAAGAAATATCCAATAGCACAATATTGCGCAATAGCAAGAAATTGTCTATTGTACAGTATTGCACAATAGCAAGAAATATTCAATTGCACAGTATTGTGCAAAAGAAGATACTTCGTATAAATTGCTTATTTCTTGATCAATTTCAATGGGGTTTTATTCTTGAATTCTTGGGGTTCTTTAATATGCTGAATCTAACCGTGTATTAAGTTTTTGGATTTTGGGCCCCGTTTTGAAATTGGTCCACATTGAGGTCCAAAGGGTCCAAAATTTAACTTTGTTTGATTTCATCAAAAATTGAATTATTGGGGTTCTTTGATATGCTGAATCTAACCGTGTATTTAGATTCTTAATTTTTGGTTCCATTTTCAAATTGGTCTACATTAAGGTCCAAAGGGTCCAAAATTAAACTTAGTTTGATTTTAACAAAAATTGAATTTTTAGGGTTCTTTGATATGCTGAATCTAAACATGTATTTAGATTTTTGATTATGGGCCCAGTTTTCAAGTTGGTCCAAATCGGGGTCCAAAATTAAACTTTGTTTGATTTCAACAAAAATTGAATATATGGGGTTCTTTGATATGCTGAATCTAACCATGTATTTAGATTTTTGATTTTTGGGCCCTGTTATCAACTTTGTCCACATTGAGGTCAAAAGGGTCCAAAATTTAACTTTGTTTGATTTCACCAAAAATTGAATTATTGGGGTTCTTTGATATGCTGAATCTAACCGTGTATTTTGATTCTTAATTTTTGGTTCCGTTTTCAAATTGGTCTACATTAAGGTCAAAAGGGTCCAAAATTAAACTTAGTTTGATTTTAACAAAAATTGAATTTTTAGGGTTCTTTGATATGCTGAATCTAAACATGTATTTAGATTTTTGATTATGGGCCCAGTTTTCAAGTTGGTCCAAATCGGGGTCCAAAATTAAACTTTGTTTGATTTCAACAAAAATTGAATATATGGGGTTCTTTGATATGCTGAATCTAACCATGTATTTAGATTTTTGATTTTTGGGCCCTGTTATCAACTTTGTCCACATTGAGGTCAAAAGGGTCCAAAATTTAACTTTGTTTGATTTCATCAAAAATTGAATTATTGGGGTTCTTTGATATGCCGAATCTAACCGTGTATTTAGATTCTTAATTTTTGGTTCCGTTTTCAAATTGGTCTACATTAAGGTCCAAAGGGTCCAAAATTAAACTGAGTTTGATTTTAACAAAAATTGAATTTTTAGGGTTCTTTGATATGCTGAATCTAAACATGTATTTAGATTTTTGATTATGGGCCCAGTTTTCAAGTTGGTCCAAATCGGGGTCCAAAATTAAACTTTGTTTGATTTCAACAAAAATTGAATATATGGGGTTCTTTGATATGCTGAATCTAACCATGTATTTAGATTTTTGATTTTTGGGCCCTGTTATCAACTTTGTCCACATTGAGGTCAAAAGGGTCCAAAATTTAACTTTGTTTGATTTCATCAAAAATTGAATTATTGGGGTTCTTTGATATGCTGAATCTAACCATGTATTTTGATTCTTAATTTTTGGTTCCGTTTTCAAATTGGTCTACATTAAGGTCCAAAGGGTCCAAAATTAAACTTAGTTTGATTTTAACAAAAATTGAATTTTTAGGGTTCTTTGATATGCTGAATCTAAACATTTATTTAGATTTTTGATTATGGGCCCAGTTTTCAAGTTGGTCCAAATCGGGGTCCAAAATTAAACTTTGTTTGATTTCAACAAAAATTGAATATATGGGGTTCTTTGATATGCTGAATCTAACCATGTATTTAGATTTTTGATTTTTGGGCCCTGTTATCAACTTTGTCCACATTGAGGTCAAAAGGGTCCAAAATTTAACTTTGTTTGATTTCATCAAAAATTGAATTATTGGGGTTCTTTGATATGCCGAATCTAACCGTGTATTTAGATTCTTAATTTTTGGTTCCGTTTTCAAATTGGTCTACATTAAGGTCCAAAGGGTCCAAAATTAAACTTAGTTTGATTTTAACAAAAATTGAATTTTTAGGGTTCTTTGATATGCTGAATCTAAACATGTATTTAGATTTTTGATTATGGGCCCTGTTTTCAAGTTGGTCCAAATCGGGGTCCAAAATTAAACTTTGTTTGATTTCATCAAAAATTGAATTCTTGGGGTTCTTTGATACGCTGAATCTAACCATGTATTTAGATTTTGGATATTGGACCATAATAGGTGAATGTCCAATTTAAAATTTTTAAGTTCTTAGACCACATTCATTCTGTGTCAGAAACCTATGCTGTGTCAAATATTTAATCACAATCCAAATTCAGAGCTGTATCAAGCTTGAATGTTATGTCCATACTTGCCCCAACTGTTCAGGGTTCGACCTCTGCGGTCGTATCAAGCTGCGCCCTGCGGAGCATTTTATTGGTTATTATCTTGAATATTATTATAGATAGAGATAAACTGTAAACAGCAATAATGTTCAGCAAAGTAAAATCTACAAATAAGTTGTTATGATCACAATTTTCAGTCGACCCCTTTAGGAGCTATTGCCCTTAATAGTCAATTTTTAACAATTTTTTGTAAATTTTTGTTATCTTTTACAAAAATCTTATTCTCTGAAACTACTTAGACAAATTTAACCATACTTGGTCATAATCATTATTAGGGTATCAATTTTAAAAAATTTGTCCGATGACCCCGCCTTCCAACCATCATGGCCGACTTGGTTAAAAATAGAACATAGGGGTAAAATGCAGTTTTTGGTTTATATCTCTGAAACTAAAGTATTTAGAGCAAATCTGACAGGTGGCAAAAATGTTCATCAGATCATCAGATTTAGATTTATCTGCCCTGAAAATTTCAGACGAATCCGACAACCCGTTGTTGGGTTGCTGCCCCTGAGTTAGTAATTTTACACAAATTTTGCAGTTTTTTGTTATTATCTTAGATATCATTATAATATCTAATATCTAATACTATTAATTATGATTTAACCTTATTTTACATGATTTCCAAAGCATCAGTAAATACAGGTGAGCGACACAGGCTCTTGAGAGCCTCTAGTTTAGTTGTATTCGCCTAAGTTGTCGGTCTACCACAATTACATGTTGTTTTGGTAAACGTGTTCTTATTCAATAGAACTTAGTACGCCTGCATATTTATTAGGTTAATTGAGGGGCGGGTTTTCAATGAGTTTTTGTTGGATCAATAATAATTTAAATTTTTGAAAAGTTAATTATCACAAAAAGAAAGTTATGATTTGCACATAAATAGCTTTCATTTGTATTTTATGATTTTTATATACAAAATATATTATATTCAACCAATTTTTTGGTGAAAACAGTAGCTACTGCCTCTTTAAGTTATTATAAATCTTTGACAGCCATTGATAATCAGAGTTTAAATAATGGAGATTTATTTATACATATTTTAGGCAAGAACAAAATTGAAATGCCAGTTTTAATAATTTTGTTGATCATCCTGTTTAATTTTTCCCATTAAAAGATTTATCCTATTTTTTTCTGAATTTTCTGATTTTCAATTTTCTGTATGAATTCATGTTGCTCAAATACTTGGTTGATGAAAGTCACATATTTTGACCAGTTTTCAATGTATCTCTTTGTATGTCATGTTTTCATTAATGTTGTTGTTAAAGGGGCATTAGCTACGAAGTATATTTTTTTTGTTCACTCTTTAATGAAAGTGAAATAGTGAAAGAATAATTCGCTTTTAGCAGGCAGTTTAGTTCAATTTTGTCAAAATAAGCTAAGAAACATTGCTGATGAATTATTGACATGCAAGTGAATAATTCAACCTCATTGAATCCGTATTCATGTGACCTTCAATTCAACCCCTTAGCTAGAGATTGGTTATGCATGTATTAGGCGTGTTCGGCCATTAAAAGGAAAAGAATGTCAACATTGAAAGTGAAACAAATGTGAACCATTTCATTGACTGATTCGATCCACAAAAATCATTCTTATACAGGTAAAAACGACGAATAACTTATTTTTTAAACCTATAACATGAAATCAAACAGACCTCGAAAAATCCAATTGCACGTGGTCACAATATATTTATATTTATGTTTATATCGGGTTAGGTGACTGTCAGCTGTCTTCAGAGGTCATCTCGATGGTTAATTAGATGGTGTCTAGACTAAAATACACACGAAATGTTGATATAGATTATCGAGTACATGCATTATTAATTGTTTATTTCAGACTTATTGTAATTTGGATATACATTTTGATATGTTATAAATCAAATATGAGAATTTGAGTCAAATCGGTGAACATGAATTTCCCTTTTCACGAATGTGACTTACCGAATTAGACTATTTACCGGATTTGTAATAACATAAGCAACACGACGGGTGCCACATGTGGAGCAGGATCTGCTTACCCTTCCGGAGCACCTGAGATCACCCCCAGTTTTAGGTGGGGTTCGTGTTGCTTAGTCTTTAGTTTTCTATGTTGTGTCATCTGTACTATTATTTGTCTGTTTGTCTTTTTATTTTTGGCCATGGCTTTGTCAGTTTGTTTTCGATCTATGAGTTTGACTGTCCCTCTGGTATCTTTCGTCCCTCTTTTATACGATACTGAAAAGATATCTTGTTGATTTTTCCTTCACATTTTGACACAAAGTCAAACATTGTCATATTTTATATGACTTATATGCACTATCGAAGTATGCAAAAAAAAAATACCTTCGTCACTGACTTTAAGAGATATTCCAATTTGAAGTTTGCAATTATGGAAAAACACAAAATCTCATTTTTAGCTCACCTGGCCCAAAGGGCCAAGTGAGCTTTTCTCATCACTTGGCGTCCGTCGTCCGTCGTCCGTAAACTTTTACAAAAATCTTCTTCTCTGAAACTACTGGGCCAAATTTAACCAAACTTGGCCAATATCATCATTAGGGTATCTAGTTTAAAAAATGTGTCCGGTGACCCGGCCAACTAACCAAGATGGCCGTAATGGCTAAAAATAGAACATAGGGATAAAATGTAGATTTTGGCTTATATCTCTGAAACCAAAGCATTGAGAGCAAATCTGACAAGGGTAAAAATGTTTATTAGCTCAAGATCTATCTGCCCTAAAATTTTCAGATGAATCGGACAACCTGTTGTTAGGTTGCTGCCCCTGAATTAGTAATTTTAAGGAAATTTTGCCTTATTTGGTTATTATCTTGAATATTATTATAGATAGAGATAAACTGTAAACAGCAATAATGTTCAGCAAAGTAAGTTCTACAAATAAGTCAACATGACCAAAATGGTCAGTTGACCCCTTAAGGAGTTATTGCTCTTTTATAGTCAATTTTTAACAATTTTTCGTAGATTTTTGTTATCTTTTACAAAAATCTTCTCCTCTGAAACTACTAAGATGAATTTAACTAAAGTTGTAAACAATCATCATTAGGGTATGTAGTTTAAAAAATGTGTTTAATGACCCCGCCCTCAAACCAAGATGGCCGACATGGCTAATAATAGTACATAGGGTAAAATGCAGTTTTTGGCTCATATATCTAAACCCAAAGCATTTCCAGCAAATCTTTCAAAAACAAAATTGTTCATTAGGTCAAGATCTATCTGCCCTTAAATTTTCAGACCATTCAGGCAACCCGTTGTTGGGTTGCTGCCCCTGAATTGGTAATTTTTAGAAATTTTTTCAGCTTTTGGCTATTATCTTGAATATTATTATAGATAGAGATAAACTGTAAAGAGCAATAATGTACAGCAAAGTAAGACCTACAAATAAGTCACATGACCAAAATGGTCAATTGAACCCTTAAGGAGTTATGTCCCTTTATAATAAATTTTTAACAATTTTCATAAATTTTGTAAATTTTTACAAAATAATTTCCACTGAAACTACAGGGCCAAGTTCATTATAGATAGAGATAATTGTAAGCATCAAGAATGTTCAGTAAAGTAAGATCTACAAACACATCACCATCACCAAAACACAATTTTGTCATGAATCCACCTGTGTCCTTTGTTTAATATGCACATAGACCAAGGTGAGCGACACAGGCTCTTTAGAGCCTCTAGTTTAATACTTTTCAGAATAAATAATACAACTTTCATACAAAAAGAGAGATTTTGCAAAATGTTCCTAAATTGATAGTCCTTTAAGGAAGTCCCTTTAATGAAGGCTGTAATAAAAATCTGTAGGCAATTTTCATGCCATTCCAAATCCAAAATAAAAAAAAATTTATCATTGATTTTTTTTGCGATTTCAATATAACATTCTTGAAGTAGTACATAGTCGACTGCAAAAGAAAAATATGGGGGTCCATGTATTAATTTTTTAGCTAGAAACAGAAAACCTAGTTTTTATAAGACCGTTTACGTGACGTATTACTCAAGAATGCTTTAACCAACTTGCAAGAAACTTTGGAGAATTGTTTATATTTATTGACATGAGCTCCCTCTTGGATTTTTATAAATTTTAGATTTAACGTTTTCGAGTTACTGGGTTTTATTCATAAAAAAAGGGGGATTTTCCAGTTTTCGGACAATAACTAAAAAATGCTTTCAGCAGTTCTCATGAAACTTTGGTGAATTGTTTATATCTGTTGATGTAATTTTATAAATTTTAGATTTTACATTTCCGAGTTATGGGGTGTTATTCATTAAAAAAGGGGGGATTTTCCAGTTTTTGGACAATAACTCAAAAATGCTTTCAACAGTTCTCATGAAACTTTGGTGAATTATTTATAGCTATTGATGTAATCTCCCTATCGATTTTCATAAATTTCAAATATGACATTGAGAAGAAATTGAACTTAATTTGTTTATAGTCTGGCAACGGATTTACTAAGTATTGTACAACAGTACAGTGTATTGCACAACAGCAAGAAATCTTAAATTGAATATAAATTCAATTCATATAACCAATTTCAAGTTCTTTGACTACATTTATTCAGAAACCTATAATATGTCAAATATTTAATTACAATCCAAATTCAGATCTGTATCAAGCTTGAATATTGTGTCCATTTTTGCCTCAACTGTTCAGGGTTGGACCTCTGCGGGCGTATCCAGCTGCGCTCAGTGAAGCAGTTTATTTTTTATATGCCTGAGATTCCATTTCCCTTTTCTGGTGCTAAATTAAGTGGCAGTGTATTCTTATTGCAACATCATTGTACAGCAATTCCTGCAGTACTTCAAAACACTTTAGGAATTACTGTCATATACGAAATTATTGATGACAGAAAAGTAAAAATTCTTCATTTGCCTCGAATTTTATGCCCTTTGGGTAGATTATCTGTGCTTAAATATGCAACATGTCCGTTTTATTTTGAAAATACTTTTAAATTCATGTAACCGATTTGATGGCATTGGGAAAACAAGGCGTTAAATTTATATGCAATATTATCTGCCTTGCAACTGTATGATATGCCCTTACACCATCTTATACTACTATCATGACTATCATAAGTACATTGTAACAGTCTACAGCCTTAAACTAAATTTCATATTTAACATATAACAGATACATGGAGATAATGGAACAAGAAGAGAAATAAGAAAATTACTTGTGTATTGTACATATAAAGCTTACGGATGTCCAGAAAAGTTACCATGGAAAGATTTAATGGTAAGACAAAACAAAGGTTTTACTTACAAAATAAAATGATATAGGAAATAAAATGTTATCCCAAAATTTTATTATTACCATTAGTCATAATGATGATTTATAATTATTTATGACTGTCTTTATTGAATAAATATTAGGTAGTCATAAAAATATCACTACCAAAATGAAAACGTTTCTAGATGACAACTTAAAAAAAAACAACTAATATTTGAGGAGCTGTCCACATTAGCAACATATCAAATACTAATAAGAACAATGTTTTAATCAATTGTGTGGATGACCTAAAATTCATTCTGGAGTATTGTTCTCAGATTTCTTCAGAAAAAGTAATCTAAAGACTTTTTGCTCTTTAAAAATTTCGTAAAAAAATATATGTGAATAGAATCATGCAGTTGTTGTAATATATATACATATGTGCATTTATTACTTGCAGTTTAATGGTATTTGTTTTAATAAAACCAGTCATTAGCCGACTATACAGTATGGGTCTTTCTCATTGTTGAAGGTCGTTTTGATTAGTTCCCTTCCGACGAAGTCGAAGGGGACTTTAGGTTTGCACTCTGTCCGTCTGTCTGTCTGTCCGTCTGTCTGTCCTTCTGTCAGTCCGGCAAATCAGTTTTCCACACTTTTTTTCTTCATGCTTGAAGATATTGATTTGATATTTGGTATATTGTTTTATCATGACAAGTTACAGATCAAGTTCGAATTTTGTTCCGGTCTGATAATTTTGTGCAGAGTTATGGTCCTTGGACTTGGAAAATTCACTCAAATATTCAGTTTTCCGTACTTTTTTTCGTCATTCTTGAAGATATTGATTTAATAATTGGTGCATTGTTTTATCATGACAAGTTACAGATCAAGTTCGAATTTTGTTCCAGTCTGATGATTTTGTGCAGAGTTATGGTCCTTGGACTTAGAAAATTCACTCTAATAATCAGTTTTCCACACTTTTTTTCGTCATGCTTGAAGATATTGATTTGATAATTGGTATATAGTTTTATCATGACAAGTTACAGACCAAGTTTGAATTTTGTTTCGGTCTGATGATTTTTTGCAGAGTTATGGTCCTTGGACTTAGAAAATTCACTTAAATTATCAGTTTTCCGCACTTTTTTTTCGTCATGCTTGAAGATATTGACTTGATATTTGTTATATAGTTTACACCATGACAAGTTATAGATCAAGTTAGCATTTTGTTCCAGTACAATTAATTTTTAACCGGTAGGGGACTATGTATTGCCATGCAATACTCTCAGAATGCTTGTTTTTATTAATATTTGCTCTTTTGAGAGATAGTTGAACTTTGTCATTTTTTGGAGTATTTACTTGCATAAGAGGTGCATAGCATTTCCGGATAACTCCTCCTACAGTTTGAATGCTAGGAAGTTTTCACTTTGCTGGCTGTTTGTACATATATTGAAGTTGTGCATGTGGTCAGGGTTTTGATTTTTATTAATATTTGCTCTTTTGGAAGATAGTGAACTTTGTCATTTTTGGAGCATGTACTTGCATAAGAGGTGCATAGCATTTCCGGATAACTCCTCCTACAGTGAACCATAGACCTATGTGCTCCCATGCTCATTTTTGTGTTTTTTAAAATAACACTTTGCATCTGCGGGGGCATCATTTGTGTTTCCCAGACACAATAATATCTCAAAGAAAGTCCTACATTGACTTTGTTGTAAAACAGTTACTTCAGAGTGGAGTGCAGGGGCATCACTTTGTCTAGTTTTCATTTCTAATCTGTTTTCCCTGGATATACCCCCCCAACCCCAATGGCATATCGTCAGTAGATGGCAATTTAATAAGAAAGCACTGCGTTTCACATTTTTAAAACATACAAATTTGTTTGCGATATATTTGTAGACACATGGATCACAGTGTAAGTATAAACCTATAACATGTACACACAATGGATGTGAAGTAAAGTGTTGTGAAGATAAAATGGAAACTCATATTAAAAACTGTGACTTCAGACCTGTCAGATGTAGTTACTGTGAAGAAACTGTCCCATTCAGTCTACAAGCAGTAAGTTTTAGTTTGTAATATTTTTTACACTGAGTATAGGCCATCATATTCAGAAATGCTATGCTTAAATTTTGTGCATTTTTCACATGTACATGTTATCTATAAGCAAATCATACATTGCAGAATAGATGAATGTAGCAGATTCCCAAAATCCATCATCCATGATGTATCCCAATAGAAATTATATAAAAAAAAAGTTGTTTTGTGTTCTTTCTCCAGAAAAGATTTTTTTATGCCCCGGCATCCAGGAGAAGGGAACATTAAGGTTTGCCCTTTTCCTACTGTACGTACGTCCCGAAATTGGTTTCCATTCTTTAACTTAATATAAAAATAAGAAGATGTGGAATGATTGCCAATGAAACTCAACTCTCCACCAGAGACCAAATGACATAGAAGTTTAGTTTGCCTCAATCAAATGTTATGAAACTTTTACATAAAGTTATTACCACCAAACACTGATCAAATTTGAATTTGGTTGGCATCACTTTCACGGTTCTCGAGTTATGTCCCTTTATGAATGAAAAATTGCTGAATTTGCCGTTTCCACACTCTAACTTTACTTTACCTCAAACACATGTTATGAAACTTACACACAATGCTAATTATCACCAAACACAAATCAAGTTCCAATTTGGTTTGCGTCATTTGCACAAAAAAATTTCTGAATTTCCTCTTTATTTTCAAGCCATGGACACATTCTTTTTTATATTTTAAATTTAGTGGCTTGTTAATTCAAAATACAAGTGAACAAAGTGTTCCCCTTCAATTTTATAAATACCTTTCCATCTCACAGTAAAAAATTTAGGATCTTGTGCATACAAGTGACTGAATATTCAATTTAACAACATTCATAATTACATCATTATAATAGCAACATGATTATATGTTAGGTTCCAAATTATTCCAAGTCTAATATATTTTGAATTAATTAAACAGAAACTATTGTGCCATCCATTTCTTAATTCTCCTGGCACCAAGAGTTTCTTGTATTGCGTCTAAATGACAATCTGTTCTTCTTCCAGAATTCTTCAGTCATTGAAACCTCTCACCTTGTCCATTATTATTCTTTGGTTGCCAAGTTTCAAAATTACATTTATATATCCAATGTTTCTAGTGAAACATTCCTGAAATTAAAAAAAAAAGAAGATGTAAATCATAAACAACGAGTGTGCAGAAAATCTGTGCTTTATAGCGAGTACAACTTTGAAAGTGAAACAGTGCCATTCTAGTAAAATACTGTTAAATTTATTCATCACATAAATGTTTGAAGGACCTTTTACTAAAACAAAACACATGCAGCAGTATGAAACACCAAATCTGAACAAATGACCAATTACTTTTTGTAGTTTATACATCATTATGGCTGACTACTACACTTTGGTCATAGTGTTAGATACAAGCGAACTCCAGTTTTAAATTATGCAATGCTATGAAAAGAAAGGAGAAATTTGTAATGAAGCATTTAATTTTATATTTATCATTTAATATTGGATTTTTAATGAAAATGCATATTTAAAAATATAGATGAGGAACATTATTAAAGATTTTTAAAAGAAATAATGGCACCCTCTACAATTTCAATAACAATCATGATGGAATGTGAACAACATCACAAAATAGTGGTTTTTTTTTTCTTATTACGTGCTTATAATATTCTATAATTGGCACCCCTGTCTGCGATTTTAATTTTGGAGTAAATGACTGCAGACCATTTCCAACCAAATTGGATAACATATCCTATTAAGGTTGAATAACTGCTAATTTATTAGCCCCTCTTAACTCTTCAAAATTCACAGCAGCTAAAAAAACACAAAAATTTGAGCACATGTAAATTTCTATGTGTATTCTAAGATTTATTACTGTTCAAACATTTCATTCATTATACTGTTAATTATCAAGTCTACACAAAATGAACTCTCTTCATCCAAAAGATAAAATGATATTATGTTTAAAATCAGTCTTTTGTGTTGGTCAACAGATCATAAGAATGTGCATATTCAATTAAGATCTCTGTTTGCATAATACATGTCATTAAATTTGCTAATCATTATTAAGACAGGGATTTTTGTCACCTCAAATTACTTAAAACCTTTACTAAATTCTTCCATAGATACAAAGATTTGGTTTGGAATTTTGGCTCTACTTGTAGAAAATTTATTTCAAATGGGATAGCACATCCTAATTTTTACAGAAATGTTGTTTACAGAGCCCGGAAATTTAGATACGATCCGGGTAAACTTATTGATCCTTTATATAAAGTTGTTCAAAAATTCAACACTATAATTATTATTAGATCTTTGAATATTGTTTATATTGGTATAAATATTGATTTTGTTATCAGTAAATTTAAATCAAACTAAATATTATGTTTATATGCATATGCACATTCATGGCTCTACAATCTGTCGATACCTGTATCTTGGCATTGCACAAGGTAATGTTTTTCTCTGACTGTTAATGACGTCTTAACACTAAATCCATTGGATGTTGGTTGTGTATTGATATTTTAGACATTTTGTTTCCAGAGTATAAATCTATGGATAAAACATAAGGTTCCATACCTCAAAAGAAAGGTTGGATTGATTTTTGGGGTTATCGCCCTAACTGTTTAGGAAAAAGGGGCCAAAAACAATACTTTTCTAATACTTTGTATAAATTGCTTATTTCTTGACTAATTTCAATGGGGTTTCATTCAAAGTTTTGTATTCTTGGGGTTCTTTAATATGCTGAATCTTAGATAATTATTTAGATTTTAGATTTTAGGCCCCAGTTTTGAATTGAACCACATTGAGGTCCAAAAGGTCCAAAATTAAACTTGTTTGATTTCATCAAAAATTGAATTATTGGCGTTCTTTGATATGCGGAATCTAACCATGTGTTCAAGATTTTTAATTTTGGGGCTGTTTTCGAATTGGTCCGCATATTGTCCAAAAGGTCCAAAATTACTTTGTTTGATTTCATCAAAAATTGAATTCTTGGGGTTCTTTGGTATGCTGAATCTAACCATGTCATTAGATTTTGGATATTGGACCATAATAGGTGAATGTCCAATTTTAAAGTTTTTAGACCACATTCATTCTGTCGGGTTTCTTTATCGCCATTTTGCACTTGTATTTGTTTTGTAATCCCTTTCCTGCTTTAAAACTGCCACTCCAGTATAGTATGATAATCCCGAGGGTCCTCCTAATAACCATATTAATGCCTCCGGGAAATATTGGCTAATGATCGCTACCGGTAATCACTTCTTACCTGTGTTTTTAATTCACACCGGACAATGATCACAAGCTCAGAACTAATATTATAAAGGAATTAAAATTCCATGACCACTTTCTTCATTATTTAATTACTTTTTAGCAAAGACAATCGACAATTCTGATCTAAAATTAAAACTTGATTTAATTTACATAGAAAAAAGTAATTATTCACGAGTCAAAAGTGTACTTTATTTATTTTGTAATAAGCATGCGTGAAATTGTCTTCACCAGGTTAGACACTTAATCGTTAATGCAAAATGATTTCATGCTAAATTAAACGACTGCAACTGTCATCTGTATATTCAAAGACTTTTAAAGGTAATAAAATTTAAAATCCCATGGTTTCCTATCAATATTTGATAAACAGAACGAATCCCGGAAATGAATCTGGAATTACTCTTACTGTAGTATTGTCGGAAACTTTAGCAATGACTTGAGAAATTTACCATTTTGAATCATTAAAATCATTTCAATTTTAAACTGTTGCATTCCATTAACACAAGTTCGTTGATGCTATGAATCTAATGTGAATAATTTCGACAGTTTGAAAAAAGGGGCCCATCATTTAAGTCATCTCAAAATGACCTAAATTGTGGGGAAAAAATCCTGAATCCTTGTCAGAAACCTATGCTATGTCAAATATTTAATCACAATCCAGTTTCAGAGCTGTAATGCACAATTAATAGAAATTTTAAGTAGATTTATAGTTAAAAATAGATACAGCATTAAATTCTAATTTGGAGAAGAAATTATATATAAATTTAGTTTGAAATTACTGTTCATTATTAGATATTTTGAAAAATAATTTTAGGTACATTTTATAGATTTTTTAAAGACATTGTATCTTTAAAACTTAGCTAATATTGTCCATTAATAAATAAATTAATTAAATTCTTGGTGTACTTGGATATGGTGAATCCAACACTACACGAAATCCCGGATTTGAAGAGGTATGCAAATGTTATGTAAATGTATTCAGAGACCGACATTTACATATATTTACAAACCGCTGCATTTAGTTTATCTTGTCTTTACATGTAGTAAATATCAACATTTCTTGTGCTATACCCTCCTATGGGCGGTTATGAGAGACCGCGGTTTAAAAAATATATTAACACCTAATCAAACCATTTTAAAGTTTAGAATTTGCATATATTTATGACCATCTCAAAACTTTCGCAAACTTATGTATTTGTATACCTCTGCAAATGGAAATCTTTGTCATAAAATTGAGAATGGAAATGGGGAATGTGTCAAAGAGACAACAACCCGACCATAGAACAGACAACAGCAGAAGGTCACCAACAGGTCTTCAATGCAGCAAGAAATTCCCGCACCCGGAGGCGTCCTTCAGCTGGCCCCTAAACAAATATATATACTAGTTCAGTGATAATGAACGCCATACTAAACTCCAAATTGTACACAAGAAACTAAAATTAAAAATAATACAAGACTGACAAAGGCTAGAGGCTCCTGACTTGGGACAGGCGCAAAAATGCGGCGGGGTTAAACATGTTTATGAGATCTCAACCCTCCCCCTATACCTCTAGCCAATGTAGAAAAGTAAACGCATAACAATACGCACATTAAAATTCAGTTCTAGAGAAGTCTGAGTCTGATGTCAGAAGATGTAACCAAAGAAAATAAACAAAATGACAATAATACAAAAATAACAACAGACTACTAGCAGTTAACTGACATGCCAGCTCCAGACTTCAATTAAACTGATTGAAAGATTATGTCTTC